CAGTAGTTCAGTCATTGATATCCATTAACCTTTGTCACCGAGTTTTCTTCTAACATGCAAGAGTTTGTTTTGAGAGGCGCTCAGTTACCATTTCTCTATGCTGTAAGTATGGGACTTTGAATGCCCTTTTTGAGGGCCAACAATTTCAATACACTTTGTTTTACTCTGTGAACCAGGTCTAGATCTGCACAGGGAAAGTAATGCCAAGCGGTCCAAAGAGCCCTGCTCAGGTCTCCTCCTAACCTTCCCTTCTCTGCCTTCCCCTAGTTTTGCTTCTCTTCAGGTCTGACACTGAGGAGTGCATAATTGTCAACCAAAATGGCACTACAGTTAGTTCTCATTAGAAACCAAACCAGTGTATTTCTAGAATCTGTTAGTCTAAAGTAGTCAATGCCTTTGTAAAGACTCAGCTTATTCAATATCGGTTGTATTATAGCTAGCTATACACATAGGCAGATTGACTATATTTAGTCCTGGTTTGTGTATCATTGAGCTATAGTAGTTTGCTTTATCCAATTGTGGGATTAAACAATATTGTTTAATGGTTGTAAACTTTTATAAAACCACTTTGGGTTTCTTGTTTGACCCAAACATAATGTAAGTCTCAATGACAAAATACACAAAGCCAACCTGAGGTGAGTGAAAATATATCTCTTCCCCAGTTTTGTCTATCTCTATAATGCATGTGCAATGCTTTGTAATATGTTCACACTAGCATGAATGTGCTGACTTCTACATGAGTTCTGTCTCACCTACAATTGTGATGAAAAATGCTGTTATCACTGACAACAATGAGTTGTAACCACTACTACTTATAAACTATTTGTCTACTAACTACTAATGTCTCTTTCTTTAACATCAATGGCAAAAGCCACCAAACACATACACACACACACACACACACACACACACACACACACACACACACATCACGTCACAATATGTATATGGGTATAAATAGATAATTACTTTGCTCCTAAAATATTAGTTAACTCTTGGTAACTTGCATATTTAGAGAAACTTTAAGGGAAAGATTCCCTACCCACAAATGAGTTCATCTGAATTCCACCACAGCAAATATATACCCTCTAATTTTTTAAGATTAACATAGCTCCTAGACTAACACTAAACTAAATGCTAGTCAAACCACTGGTTCCCACAGGACAAAGCTGACTTCCACTAGTGGGTCAAAATCAGGTGGTAATCTCAGCTAACACTTATTTCTGTACACAGAATATAATTCTTACCTGAATACCATAAGACCTCAGACACATCTACAGGGACTGAAGTCAGAAAAAGAGGGCCACAAGGGGATGTAGTATGCTACACTGCACACTCATGAAGTACACCTCAGACAGTGTCAATGGCTCATGTCTGTAATCCTAGTTACTCTGGAGGCTGAGATCTGAGGATCCAGTTCAAAGCCCAGGCTGACTCATCTCCAATAAAAAACTACCAAAAAGCTGGAAGTGGAGGTGTGGCTCAAGTGGTAAGAGCATTAGCCTTGAGGAAAATAGCTCAGAGAACTTTACAAGGGGGGGGCCGGGGAGGATTGGGTGGGGGAGTGGGGGGAGGATGGGAAGGGATGGGAAGGGGAAACAAAGGAGGAGGCTGCAATGCTTGGTAAGAAATGTACTCATGATCTTGCCCATGTAATTGTAACCCCTCTGTACAGTATTTTCACAATAAAAAAAAATAGCTCAGAGACAGAGCCCAGACTCCCTAAGTTCAAGCCCCAGCACTTCCCCCCTCTAAACACACACACACACACACACACTTCTTTGGGTTGCCATATGGAAAATGAGGCTCCAAGAGCATTGAGATTTTGTTTTAAACCAAAGCCAAGCAGAATTAGTAGCGATTGCAAGACTGGAAGTCTCGTTGCCTTATGACTTGCAAGCACTTCATAACAGTATAGTACTTTGCTGTCTTCCTTCAGGCCTCTCTGGAGCCTCCTGTCCATCCTCTACCATACTGTATCTAGGGTAATTTCATTTTAAAGGCAGAGGTAGCCACAGGAGCTTCAGTGAACCTCAGCCTTAGGGAACCTTTGTAGGTCTATTTGTGAATTTGCAAATCAATCGCCTTCCTCCTTCCCTACCTCCTTCCATGGGACTTAACTCCTCTCTTCCATTTCTTTTACTCTTGTTGCCCCCTCACATTCCAGAAACACACATGGACCAGCTTTTTACTGACTACCAACCAGGAGCCTGACATCTACTCAGCTGAAACAGATCAAAACGGTTCCTGTCTTGGGGAACTTGCACAGTAATGAGGGAATGAAGCATACTAAGACTTCCTTGATGGACAGTAGTGGCGTGAGCATAGGGAGAATGGTAAGAATAATTATAATTCAAAGAGGAGCCAATTCAATGCCCAATGCTGCTTCTCTAATTACAGGTAGTAAATCTACCAGGCTGGTTATAACATCCTCTGCTCACTGGTTTGGCCTCATGATCTAACACATCAAATCATGTTTCAAACTGGATCTTGTTCTGTACCCTCAACCATACTTTCTCAAGCCTTCTAAACTTGGACCTTCCATTTACTCCTTGTTCTAACTAGTACAGTCTTGCCTTTGAAGGCCAGTACTAATGATGGAGTATAGAGAGGATGTCATCTCTTCTCACAAGCTGTTCCACCTCCTGTTTAGTCCGTGTTAATCCTTCCTTGAGGCAAGTCTTTCAAGAATCTTGAACAATAACTTAGGCTTTGCTCCTTTATTATAATTTTGTTGGTGCAAAGACTCTACCACAAGGAGTAGAGTGGGAGACAGAAATCAAGTTGTCAATCTCTGATGAATTTACAGTTCACAGACTTTTCCAGTTGTCTCCAGTCTCTAATCAGAAGGGAACCAAGAGCAGTAGATAAGGTTGCTTCCTGGCAACTCCACCCATCATCCATAATCTCCACCACCTTGAAAACCCTGTCTAGCTTCACAATTCCCAAGTCTCCAGAGGACTTTAGCCAACAATGACCACTGGCTCTCAATTCAAACCTGTGCTAGAAATGAGTTTAGATAGTCTGCTCTTTTAACTTTAGATCACTCTTTGAGGCCAAGAGAAAACAACAAATACCATCCCATGTCATGAGAAATAGTACTGAATTCAAGGCTTACCAACCCTAGCAGGAATCCATGCCTGTCACCTATAAAGCATGATATGCATTAAAAAGCACTTTCAGCCTGGTGTCAGTGACTCACACTTATATCCTAGCTATTCAGGAAACTAGAGGTTCAAAGTCAGCCCAGATAAGAACATCTAAGACTCATCTCCAATTAAGTGTCATAAATGCTAGAAGTGAAGCTGTGGTTCAAATGGTAGGAGGAACCTTTAGCAAAAAATACTCAGGTACAGCAGCACCCAGGCCCATAGTTCAAGCCCCAGGATCTGCACAACCCCCCAAAAATGTTTTCAAATCTATTACCTGTTTTGATCCTTACAAGTATATAAGGTAAATAAGCACATGCAGAAATGGGCATGATTTCCCATGAAATAGTGCAACCTGCTTGGATTGAAGATCTTTGAGCAGTTTTCCCTCCCTACTAGTGTATCTCACTTTATATCAGAATCCTCAGAACAGTTAAAATATTGTTTGCTGCCTACTCTCAACCTTCTCGATTCATGTTGTCTGGTTCAAAAACCTATATTCTGTTGGGCACCAGTGGCTCATGCCTATAATCCTAGCTACTCAGGAGACTTGCATATGAGTATCACTGTTCAAAGCTAGCTGAGGCAGGGAAGTCCATGAGACTCTTCTCGCCAAATAACCACCAAAAAGCCAGAAGTAGAGCTGTGGCTCAAGTGGTAGGACACTCACCTTGAGTAAAAAGGCTCAGGGACAGTGCTTAGGCCCTGAGTTCAAGTCCTAAGACAGGCACTAAATGGGAGGGGTGGTAGCAGACTAGAACTGTAATTTCCAGCCCTTATTTTTTTTTTTTAACAGAAAACCCCTTTTGTCAGAAGAAAGATCTCAATATACTATATCTAGTGGAAAAAGTCAGGGTTGCTATAGTGAAGGGGTTAAGAACTGAGAACTTGTGTTAGCCATCTCCCCAGGTGCTGAAAAACCAACTAGAGCACACATTTACTGGTACCAAAAAAGAAAAAGTTGTGGGCTAGCTCCCAGAATAATATCCCTGCTCAAAAAAAAGATGTTAGTACATCCTTCCAGATGTTACAGATTCTCTAGAGGTCTTAATTTAAAACCCCCTACTGGTGGTTTTGAGGGAGTATAGCTCCGTGGCAACACTTGCCTATCATGTCGGAAACCCTGGGTTTCTCCCCATAATTGCAAAGAAGGTGAGTGGGCTTGAATGAATTTGGGCACAGCATTTCCACCAGGTTCTCCCTTGGCATTTTCATAGGCTAACTCTGTCCATCATTGCTTGGCATAGCCACTTGCAGAAGCATCAGGATTATCACTGGTTAACTCTGTCCCACCTCATCAGGGTGAAGTCTCTGCCAGTCTCTCTTGAGGGCTACAGGCTGCCACAAGTAGCATTCTGAGGTGAGGTGTCTGAAGGGATCAAGTGGCAATAGAGAAGAACTGTGGGTCAGCCCCTAAATCTGTCTCATAATACCCACTGCAGAGAAGTACACTCTTTTTTTAGGTTAAAAGATAGACATAAAAAAGAAAGATATATCTCTGGCTCTTGATTACTGTTCTGTGTAAGGAGAAAAGCTAAAACACCTCGGTCTTCTTCCCAATGTTATGGAAACTCTAAGCAACTTCCTCCCCCACACTCTTCTCCCCTACCACTCCACCATACTTCAGTTGCTGGCTAGGCTCTGTGGCCAGCAGTGCTTCTCCTCTGGGACCTGATAGTTCCATAGGAGCTGGACTCATACTACAGCCAAGGAGTGAAGAAATTATTTCAGGTGCCAGGAAGAAGGCATGGGTGGAGTCTGGCTGTAGGAGCAATCAAACCAGTAGACTAAAGGGCCTGAGGATCCAGCTTCTATTCAAAGGCTAAGGAAGAACAGAATGCACCTTCTCAATTCACAAACACCAAAATAACAGTTGCTTGTTTATTTTTCTTCAAAACAAAAGGGAAAAAATTAAAATTCTACTGTAGTAGGAAATTGAGTTGAAGTGTCAATCAGAAGAGCTGCACACCAGCCTTGAGCCGATACAGCTGTGCAGGGTTCCAAAGAAGGCCCTCATGGTTGATGCTACTGGTGCAACTGCTGTTGTAGCTTAAGCCCAGGGTGCTGTGGAGAGAGTGGGGACAATCAGTCATGGAAAAAGATGACTCTAGACTCTGGCAGAGCTAAGAGTGCTTGCTATGTATGCCTGTGGGAAGTGTCCACCCCCATTCTTTGCTTTATAAAGAGGCAAATAACTGAGAAGTAATATCCTGGTGGGCCCGAGGGATAGCTTTGCCCTTCCTCCAGTTGAAGGAGAGAAGGAAGAACGGAATTTTCAAATGATGTATTATGCACAGCTCTAGTACACAAACCAGATTAAAGCCCACGCAGAGCTTTGTGGGTTGATATAAGGAAGAAGGCCTCATGAAGATATTGAGAATGACTGCTTCCTTCAAGGCCCTAGTGCTTGGGGGCCCAAGCACTGGATCCATACCACATTTAATGGCTGGTTAAGGGGTCAAGGCCATGCTTGGACTATGGATAGGCCTGGCTTTCATCCCAAGACTGGACATCTATTTGAAAGAGACACCTGCCCTCTCCTGGCCCAGCTCAAAACACTCTTGCTTCCTCTGCTTCCTGAAGGTCAAAGGTCCTTCCAGTGATAACTGAGAGCAAAGCCTTCAAGCAGATCCAGGGTTATACTACTGCAGCTGAAAAACCCTTAGAAATGATCTAGTTCAACCCCTCCCATTACCCATGACTTTATGGACAAGGAAACTGAGACTACAGATGAGAAAATACTTACCGAAGGCCGCATAGCCTAGCCAAGGATGGAGCTGAGACAAAAAGGAGAGGTAGCAAATGGTCTTCCTATCTAGTAAAGCCTCCTTACTATAGGATGGATAGAAATGGGGCTGAGTCAACTTTCTTCCTGATTTAACAGCTCCACCTATGCACACTTCACCCTTGATACCCTGGTGCTCATCAAGCCAGCCATTATTACCCAGAGCCAACCTACTTATGGCTGAAGGGAGAAGGGGCCTTTCAGACATGTGAACCCGACTCCCAACTACCTGCCCCAGCTGCCTCCTCTCTTCTCCATGAGGCCTAACAGCCACTAGCTTTAGAAAGAGTCCATGACACTGCCTTGAGCTGGGCCTGGCCTGCTCCTGGAGCCCCTGGATTCTCGAGCTTTCTTCCAGAATGCTCAAGTCACATCTCAACAGAAATAGGCAAACAACAGAGGAATGGACTCTCAATTTCAGGGGCCCATGGAGGTCTCTCTCTTCGTACTCACAGGATTCTCCTGGCCATAATGGCCCAGCATTCCAGAATATACAGGCCCCCTGGGCTCCTGAGTGTTACCAGCATTGTTCTCAAGTAAGGGTTGCTTGGTTCCTGGCTCCATGGTGACCCAAGGGCTTTTATGCCTATGATCCAAAGTAAGTTTCAAGGGAAAGCATGAGTTCTGCACAGGCCTTGCTAGCAAGATGCCTGCACAGTGCTAGAAGGCATACTGATTACTCTATGCAGCTTTGGACAAATCCCTTCCCCTTTCTGGGCCTCAGTTTTCTCATTAGAAACAGAAAGAAGCTGGATCAGAGCATCTGTTCTTGATCTCTGTGGGATACTGGAATCTTTAAAAATTCACTGAAAGCTACTGACCCTTCCCTTCCAAATGCATGTGCACACACGTGTACATCCACCTACACAGCAAGACTGTATCTGTGAGGGGTGCCAAGCCAGCTTTGAATGGCTACTTCACTGGCTACCCACACTAAAGATAGGAAGATCTAGAGGGCCTGGCTACCTATTCACCCACCCCACTTTGTCTCCTTTTACTCCTGTGAGTGGTAGACAAAGGTGGGGGGTAAGAAATCCTGCCCAGATGGGTACTTACCTAGTCTTGGACTTTGGAGAACGAAGCCTCTGGTCTACCACAGGCTGGTCCAAAAGATACATTGTATCATAACTGTCCAGCATAAACTCTGATGGGTCACCGGTTTGACCTGGCACACGGCCTAAGGGGAATGTGTCCCAACGTACATCTTCTGTGGAACGAGGTAGCAAAAGTGGGCTGATGAGCTGGTAGTCCATCTGGGGCACAGGTTCACCCACCCGCACCACTCAGCCTATTGTGCATGGGTTCTCTGCATCCCCTAGCCTCACTCCTCACGAGACCCCCCCACCTCAGCACCCTACCACACAGCCTTCACAGCCCTTCTCCCTCTCCATGTGTTCATATATGTACCTATAAGCACAAAGGTATGACACTTTTGGCTTCTCTACACTCTTCTCACACAGGTCCCTTCACAGAAATAGACATCTTCAGACCTGGATTCTTCACTCCCTCAGTCTTCCACCTTCACCTCTACTTCCCTCTGGGAGGTCCCCACGATTCCCATAGCATCCTCTCCCCAAATCCACCAATACCACACAGTATCTGAACAACCAAAATTTCCTATATATCTACACAGAACCCCCATGAAGCTTGAGTGCCATTATCCCCTTTTAGTTGCCTTACCTAGAGAGATGCACATGCATTTACACATACCTCTAACCTGAGGGTTAGAGTCTATGTCAGAGGTAAAACGCTCCTTACATCTCCTGCAAGGTTTTCATGGCTCCAGATGTACACATAAAGAACATCCATTCTCCAGGTAAGGGTAGTCCCACCTCCCAAGTATGTATATAGAATCACACATACCTCCATTCAGTGAATGTTCCCTTTTCACTCCCTACCTTCCACACTTTTCATTCACAGGCACAATACACAGAAATCTTCATATCCTTACTGCCGCCCCCCCAACAATGTGTGTGGACAATCGACATAAACAGAGGGTAAGAGCCCCTCTTAGTTCACAACCCAGAGCCCCAACACACATGCAAAGACACTTCATTAGGGGATGCACTATACCAGGCATTCCTGATCTCCTTCTGCCTTATCACTTGAACATCCCAACATAGTGATATACTAAAGTCTTCCAGGGTTGGAGGCATGGCTCAAGTCATAGAGTGCCAGCCAATGAGCAAAAGCAAGCTTCAGATACTGAATTCGAGTCTTGGTCTCAGACAAAAAAAAAAAACAAGGAAAGTCTTCCACCCTATCCTTACACAAATCCATCTGGTGCTGTCAAGAGAAGCATACATGCCGGGTATTAGAAGCTAGTGTCTATAATCCTAGCTAATTAAAAGGCTGAGATTTGAGAATAATAGTTCAGAGTGATCCCAGGTAGACAGATCCATGAGACTATCTCCACATAATCAGCAGAAGTGGTAGAGCACCAGCCATAATTGATAAAGCTGAGCAAAAAGTGTGAGGCCCTGCGTTTAAATCCCAGGACTTAAAAGAAAAAAGGGAGGAAGGGAGGGACGGAAGGAAGGAAGGAAGGAGGGAGGGAGGGAGGGAGGGAAGAAGGGGGGAAGGGGAGAGAGGGGGAGAGAGAGACAAAGAGAGAGAGAGAGCACGTGCACACATTTACTACTGAGCCTTTTCACATAGGATCTATTTCTGAGAACCTGCATCTCCCTAGTACTCAAAGAATTCTCCTTGCCATAATGCTAAAAAAAAAAATCGGAAAAGGATGAACCCTGGACCGCCTTGTACATACCCAGGACTTGAACTCAGAGCCTTTATCTCTCACTCATCAGATCAGCTTTCTGACTCGTGGCCAGTAGTTTACCACACTAGCTTGGACCAGCAGGTTTCTATGTAAACCACAGAGATGTTCCCTAAGAAGAGTTGTTTCTAGCCGGGCGCCGGTGGCTCACACCTGTAATCCTAGCTACTCAGGAGGCTGAGATCTGAGAATCTCGGTTTAAAGCCATCCCGGGCAGGAAAGTTCGTGAGGCTCTTATCTCCAATAAACCCCGCTAGAAAACCGGAAGTGGTGCTGTGGCTCAAGCGGTAGAGCGCTCGCCTTGAGCTGAAGAGCACAAGAACAGCGTCCAAGCCCAGCGCTCGCCTTGAGCTGAAGAGCACAAGAACAGCGTCCAAGCCCAGAGTTCAAGCCCCACGACCAACAAAAAAAAAAAAAAGAAGAGTTGTTTCTATTCTTTTACATATCAAATTATCTCACATATAGGTACAATTATGTGTCAATTTTAAAAAATTGTAGGCTTGGGCTGGGAATGTGGCTCAGTAGTAGACTGTTTGCCAAGCAAGCATGAAGCCCTGGGTTCCATTCTCAGTACCACAGAAACAGGAAAAGCCGGAAGTGGTGCTGTGGCTCAAGTGGTAGAGCGCTAGCCTTGAACAAAAGAAGCTCAGGGACAGTGCCCAGGCCCTGAGTTCAAGCCCCAAGACTGGAAAAAATGGTGAGCACACACACACCCTCTAGCACTCCTTTTCTGGGACACACACACACACACACACACACACACACACACACACACCCTCTGCACTCCTTTTCTGGGCTTTTACACACACACACACACATACACACACACACACACACCCTCTAGCACTCCTTTTCTGGGCTTTTACACACACACACACACACACACACACACACACACACCCTCTAGCACTCCTTTTCTGGGCTTTTACACACACACACACACACCCTCTAGCACTCCTTTTCTGGTTACACACACACACACACACACACCCTCTAGCACTCCTTTTCTGGGCCTTTACACACACACACACACACACACACACACACACCCTCTAGCACTCCTTTTCTGGGCTTTTACACACACACACACACACCCTCTAGCACTCCTTTTCTGGGCTTTTACACACACACACACATACCCTCTAGCACTCCTTTTCTGGGCTTTTATGCCCCAGCCCTTCCACATCTGTCCCAGGAGCTCATTTACTCACACCTTCGAGTTCCATATTGTTCATTATCAGACCCACTTGTTTTCCTCCCTTCCCTAAGATTCAGTATATAGGCCCCACCCCCCTCCACATATTCTGCAGACTTGTCTACTACTTTTCCTGGGTCTGCCTTCCTTGAAGTTCCTACTCCCCAACCCAAATGAAGGCACACAAAAGACTACCCTTGGAGGAAGATTCAGGCTCCTACTCTTCATCAGCAACGCTCTCTGTCCCACCTTTCATGTTTGGGCTTGTGAGCTTGTATAAACACCTGAAATCCCCACCACTCCTTCTTTGCTCTTCTCATCTTACTTTCAGTTTCTCTGACTCAATGTCTTGAGTTTATTCTTTCTAAATACAGCAAAATCTTGTCACTACTGGCCAGCCTTCATGAACTCAAGTAAATAATTACTGCACCTGAAATATGCAGAATAATATATACATACATCCTCTTGCCTCTTGCTTTCTCCAGCCTAGTGCCCATATCCATGTCAATTCCTTCTGGATGTGCTCTACCTAAAAGAGCTGGCAGCCTTACAGTGGTCCTTGGTGTTTACATACTCCATCCTAAGAGGGTACAAAGACACTCATCATCCATGTACTTGGCTGCCTCTTAGACTTGCTTCATACTGGCTACCTCCTGTTACTTTGAACCCTATCCACAGGGTGCAACTTTAAGAGCCAGTGTTATCAGCAGTAGTGCCACCTACTTGGAGGCTGAGACAGATAAATTGGTCAGGGATCAGCCTGAGCAACACAGTGATACCCCATGTGAAAAAAAATGAGACTTGGAGGGTTAGAGGTGTGGCTCAGCATCAAAGCACCTGCCTAACAAGTACAAGGTCCTGAGTTCAAATCCAAGTACCACCAAAAACACTGAAGTCAAATATGGTAGTCTTTAATACTAAAAACTCAGGAGTGTGAGACAGGAGGACAATGAGTTCAAGGCCAATTTGGTCTCACTCTACAAAGCGTTCCAATTAATAATTTCCCTTAATTAAAAAGAAGAGGTAACTGGGTACTGGTGGTTCATGCCTATAATCCTAGCTATTGAGGAAGCTAAGATCTGAGGATCACAGTTCAAAAGCACCCAGGGCAGAAAAGACAGTGAGACTCTTATCTCCAATTAACCACCAGAAAACCAGAAGTGGTGCTGTGGATCAAGTGGTAGAGTGCTCACCTTGAGCTAAAGAGCTGAGGGGGACAGCACCCAGGCCCAGAGTTCAAGCCCTATGACACCAAAAAAAAAAAAAGAAGACAGCCAGAGAAAGAAGTCAATGAGGAATATCAGAGTCCTTACCTGAACCAACTTGCCATGCAGAGCCCTGTAAAACTTCTCTTTTGTGGGCCATGATCCTGGCTTGCATCACTGTGGGAGACTCTGATGTAGTATAAGAAGAAGCTTCCATGTTTCCTTCCTCTTCATCATTATCATCTTCTTCATCTTCTCCATCCCCTTCTTCATCTTCCATGTCATTTTCCTCTTCCTCCTCTTCTTCCTCATCTTCCTTGTCCTCATCCTCATCCTCGTCCTCATCCTCATCCTCATCTTCATCCTCATCCTCCTCATCTTCCTCTTCCTCCTCCTTTTCTTCTTCCTGCTCTTCCTCTATCTGGTCCTGCAAGACCTTTTGCTTCTCCTTCTCTGATTCCTCTTTTTCTTGTTTTTCCTCTATCTCCTCCTCCAAGACCTTTTCCTCCTCCTTCTCCATCTCCTCTTCCTCAACTTGTTGATTGACATCATGAAGACTACCCTGCTCCTCTGACTGCTGAGCCTTTTCTTCAGACTTACAGTTGGAGTCAGGTGGATTGAGGATCCGATACAGATTCTCTATTGTGAATGGAGTCTTCCCAATGGGAGTAGGGACCACCGTGTCATCCTCCTCCTGGTCAAAACCCCCACTCTGTGTATATATTGAACAGACGCGCAGCAGCTTCGCCTGATCCTCCTTTGGTATGGCTTGTCCCATGGCTTTGAAGACACTGAGCAAAAAGAGGGATGAGGTAGGAAAGATTCAAAATATCAAGTTACTTCATACCTCAACACTCCAGGCTTGGAATATATTCTTTGCCCCTCTACACATGCCTCTGATAGGCAGTATTTATTGTAGAGCAGGTAAGACAGAAACAAAAGTATCATGATAGGGTCCTAAACAAGCTCTGTGCTTCATCTATGCCTCATTTCTGTTCTCATTAAAATGAAGATCATAATGGCACCTATAAGGTTCTTGGGATGAGGAAATAAAGCTCACATAGGCTATCTGGCACAGTGTCTGGTACATAGTGGGCATGCAATCTATGATAGCTATTTAGTCTGCACTGAAAAACTATCATAAACAGGCCTGCAGGGCTGGAAATAAGAATGGCAGATCCCTCTCTCCTGGTCTAGCTGAACAATCTTTCTGAGCTCCAAGGATATGCCTGGAAGTATGCTAGGCTCCTTCTGCATGGAAGACAAGATGTACTCTCTTTATGTGAGTAGCTACAGCCCAGCCTGGAATAGAGGGGAAAAGGCAGCAGTTGACAAGACAAAGCAGGAAGTCAAGGAAGACCCTATGAGCATTGGGAACTGATGGTGGGTACTACAGGAACAGCTGGGGGAGGCAGAAAGCACAAGGAAGGAGACTGAGGGAGGCCTTGGTGCAGGTGAGGCCCCCCTGGAAAGGGGAGAAAAAGAAGGCTGAAAAGGGAGGTGCATGTGTGTTGGGGTGCAGGTCACCTGCCAACTCTGAGCACACATGAAAGCTGTGGTTTCTGATGATCATCATGGTGATCAGGTGTTGGATGGTCACGTAGAGGGGACCTGGGCAGGGCAGCCTAGAGGCAGGGAGACCAGGGCAGAGCCTCTTGGGACAGTTCAGGTCAGAGTCAGTGAGGGCTGATGTAAGGGTACAGCCAGTGGAGATGCAAGGGAGAAGCTGCTCACACAGACAAACAGACAGACAGACTGACAGCAAGGGTCAGAGAAGAATTAAACCTGATGACATCATGTAAACACACACACACACACACACATACACACACACACACACAAACAGATGGCATCAACAGCAAACAACCACCAGATACAGAGCTCATGGGAGAAGACAAGCATACCTCACCCAAACTTGCTTACAACCTGGCACCAGCACTGATGCACACATGGGCAGGGTGGCAGGATGGGGACTGTTCTTCTAGGTGTATGCATGTGTATTGCACCTGCTTCATGAAGGGACTTATGTCTGGTTTCCCTCTAGGCGCATGCAGGCTGGTCATGTGTATGGTCACCCATCTGTTGGGGGACGACAGGCCTTATAGCTAATATTAGACTCTACTAAGAGACCCTTTCTGCTCTGCAGGACTAATTTCATATTTTAGAAGGATACTGGCTCAAGTGGAATTTACTAGCAGTTAGCTAGGAACAGCTTTTAGCTTTATTAGAGAAAAAGCCAAGGAGAAAGTCTCTGCCCTTTCACTGTGGACCATTAGTGTGATTAATAATAAATATTCTCAGGCAGTTGGTACTGATGAGATACTATTGCACTGCTATTGTTACCCTCCCATTACCTCTAGCTGTCTAGCCTGCCCACTAAGGTGACAGGATGACAAGCATTGTAAAATGCATCTCCTTCCTCAGTGTGCAAGCTCAAAGCTCAGGAGTGAGGTAGTCACAAGTTCAGGATGATGGAAAGTTTCACAGGACCCAAACCCAGATCTATCCCATTGTCAACAAACCATGTGACTTTAATCCTCACACCCTTAATGTTCTACCTGTCAGAGTATCATATTTCCACCTCCCAAGATTGCTGTGTCAAATTATCTGAAATAACTGCTACAAAAACACACAGCACCATGCCTGGTAATCACCTATGTTCTCTTTTATTTTTACTCTAGGAAAAACAAAGGGCAAGTTCTATATTCATTTACTAATAGATGCTTTCTGCAACAGTACCACCTAGTGGAGCATTACTGAAGAGCATAGGACCAAGGATAGCTATCTGGATTCTAGCCCTTGATTACTTGCAAAATACCTGGGAATATCCCCTCTATTATCAATGCTGTGTAATGGGGTAATTTCATCTAAACTTACTGATTATCTGGGAAAGGCAGAATCTGTGCATAGGGAATCATACCCAAGTGAGCCGCTGTTACTGCTGGCATGTGTCGCATCCCTCTGGTATGCTTGGTTGGGAGAAGATCTCTGTGGTCCAGACTTCTCCAAGACCAGCAGCTTCCATTCTGCAGGCACTTAGGATTGGAAAGTACCTTGAAAGCCACCTATCCAAACCTTTCCAAGCTGCTCTCTGCATTCCCTCCCACTAATACATACACAAGCTGTTCCTTCTACATGTTGAAATGTCCTCTACTTTCCCTGCTTGAACAGTTCAAATGTGTCTTCTTTGATGCTGCATCCTGACTCTCCAGGCCCTTTCAGCTCTTCTCTCAGTTTTTCATCCATCTAAATCACTTCTAATCTAGAGTATACACTTCTGGCAGTGTGGCTGTCAGGTTCAGTCCTATTTCCTCTAGGTCTTGACTTGGCTGAGTTTGTCTATAAGGCCACGGTTTCTAATCTTAAAAAATATTGTGCCCCAAATGCCATAAAAGGTCAAGAAAGACCTTTGGACTGAATAGTAGGATTGGGGGATTAAGAATGTTTGGGGCATCAAGTCTCCCACTGTGGACACTGGGTTAAGCCTTCATCAAGGACAGCACTGCTATCAAGAATACAGCAGAGCAGGTTCAGATCAACATTTACCAAGGCTTGTATTTGTTTGCTGTGCTGGGGCTAGATAGCTAATGCAGAGACCTTGCCCTTCAAAATAGTCTAGTAGCCCGAAGAGGACAACATGGGAGTAGAAAGGGTAACACAAAAATCTCAGATTTTAGGGAGTCAACAGGACAGAGTAAATATTGCCACCATCAGTGACACTGGGAATAGAGGAAGATCACTTTGGGGTTGGGACAGGGAGTAAGAAATTCTCTTTTGGTCACAATACTGTGCCTATGGGTCATCCATGTTCAGCATGCACTGAGTAAATGAGGCTGAATTGTGGGGGGAAGAGCCTGGGCTATAGAGATTTGTGCCTTAGTAACTAGGAATGAGTACAAGCCTTTCCAGGAGGGAATGGTAAACAGCATTAAGGCAGCAGACTCAGAAATTGGCCCCTGTACTTGGTAATTAGGTCAATGCAGCTGTAAGGGTGGGCACAAATGGTAATAGATTAAGGAATAAGAGACAAACTACTGAGGACTGCTTGAACAGGTTTGCAAAGCTGGCAATAACTCAACGAAGATGCAGAGTCTAACCATTTTGTGCTGTACTGTAATTATTATTCTGTTTTGTTTTTAAGATGAGAAAAACTCAGGCACATTTGCAAGTTGAAGAGCAAGAGTCCTTAGAGCAAGTGAGAGGCTGGAGTGAGGCCCCAGCGATGCTGGCAGAGGTAGTTTCAGAGCACAGGTGGAGGAGCAGGCTTTGAGGTGGGATAAGGCCATCTCATCCTGAGACTGGTGAGGTTGACTGCAGCTGCATATCAGTTTACGAGGGCTGGACCTCAGGTGGAGAGGGCCCTGTCGAATGCCTCCTTGTGCTCGAGGAAGCTAGGGTGAGAAATGGGAGAGGAGGAGGACTTCAAGTGAGTGGTAAGGTTTTAGAGTAGTCAGAGAACAGGAAAGTGGTCAGAAAACAAGTAAAAGTTCAAACAAACAGAACTGAAGCCTAGCCCAAGATTAAACATCATACCTCTGCAGTGGCAGCAATCCACAGGACTATGTGGTTTTCTCCAGCAGAACTCAGCTAAACAGGCTGAGGAGCAGGGGAAGTAGAGTTGGAAGATTAATCCCAGCACAGTGGGTTGCAAGTCAGACACAGCCAAAGGATAAGGAGAGCTGAGGGTGTTGATGATGAGTGACCAACCACAGGCAGGAAGGCAGCAAGGAAATGGAGGGATAGAAGTCTTAGTACAGGCACAGAACAGGTGTCATGGATAGGCAAGGGTGAGAAGCAGGACAAGAGGTTGTAGGTTGTAGTCACTGAGTGGGATGCAGGGATGTCAGCTTTCAGATGTGAAACAGCTTTGAGATGGAAATGGGCTGCTGGGTATAGCAGAGACTGAAAATCACTGGGTTGAAGGCTGTAGTGTCAGATGATCACCCAAATGCAATAGATATTGCTCCAGAAAGCAGGAAGAAAATCATTCAGGTGTTGACAGCTTCCATGAGAATGAGGGAAGTGGTGGGGGTAGGAGAAGGGGGGCAGAAAATGACAGAGAAAGGGAAAGGGAAACAACCACAGACATTTACAGAAATCAGTGCAATATTCCATTTGACCAGAACCCAGAGCAGACTGGTAAAGGGGACTTATGTATAGGGTTACCATGATAGGTTAAGGCCAGAATCAGAAAAATATATGAAATGTCAGACTACGAAGCCTTCACTTCACCAAGAAGGCAACAGGGAGCCACTGTTAGTTGCTGAGCAACTATCAGAGGTATACTTTGAGACGGAAACAGAGGAAATAGCACTGGGCTTAGAGTAAAAAACCTGGATTTGGTAATATACAGCAGCTACCATTAATTGTGCACTTACTCTGTGCAGGCCAATGTGCTAAACATTCTCTTGCTGGACTCAGTTTAGCCAAGTCTTACACTGAATGATCTTAGGCAAAAACATATTCTTGCCACTCAGTTAGCTGGACTTAGCTCTGCCACCTGTTGGTGGGAGAGGGACTGGACTAAGTGTCGTGAAAAGGGCCCTCTAATGGCTGGCCAGTCCAGGGCTGAGTGGCCCTAAGGATTCCAGGGCCTCACCCTCTTACCAGAAGGAATTCAAAAGACTTACAGCTGAAGGAGTTGGGGGCTGGCCCAGCAAGGTGATCCCAAGCAGAACTGAACCACCTGGGACCAGTCAATGGAGGCAGAGCAGTTGAAAAGCCTCCAGCTCTTTCTTGCTTCCCACTGGCTTGCAGAAAAGAGGCGAGCATTCCGACCTAAGAGAAAAGAATGACTTAAGGAGAAGCAACCTTTACTAACCTTCTCTCTATACCCCGCAAGTTCCTCCCCCACTATACTTCCTAACTGCTAAAGGTATGCAGGTTTTTTGTTTTTGTTTTTGTTGGTTGTGAGGCTTGAACTCTGGGCTTGGGCGCTGTCCCTGCACTCTTCAGCTCAAGGCAAACGCTCTACCACTTAAGCCACAGCACCACTTCCGGTTTTCTGGTGGTTAATTGGAGATAAGAGTCTCACTGACTTTTCTGCCGGGGCTGGCTTCGAACCGCTATCCTCAGATCTCAGCCTCCTGAGTAGCTAGGATTACAGGCGTAAGCCACCGGCGCCCAGCAGTATGCAGGCTTTTTGCTCAGCCCAGTCTGTTGTCTACAGCTGTGTGCAGAACCGCTTGGGCAAACGTAAACCTTTACCTAAGTAGGTATCTGCCTAATGCTTTTCAGTAGAGAGCTGAGGGCAGTGGCACACACACTCTTGCCCAGTCTGCCTTATGCCCTTGGCTAGAATTGTTTCTCTCACCAGACTTAGTGTTGGCTACAATCAGTTCAACGATCCATCGAAGGATGTAGGTAGCCCGGATCCCACTGTCCCCCAAAGATGGCAGTTCAGTGAACATCCTTTGCATCAGGGCTTCTGTGAAGGTCTGGGAGTGCAAGCCCCTGAGCAGGGGCTGCCAGAACTGAGAGAATGGCTTTGGCACCAAGGCGTCATCCAAGTTCATGTTTTCTGGTTTGTGAGGGACACCATTGATAAAGGTGGAAAGGAAATAGGGCGAGAAAGAAACAGTACAAAAGCAAGAGAGCACGCGTGCACACACCAGAACACAAGTGGACACGCACAGGACCCCCCACCACCATCACCAATATGGTTGCCACCACAAAACAGGAAGAAAGGGGAGAGCAGAATAGCAGAGAAAGAGAAACCAGTTAGGGTTTTGCAACCAACCACTGACTTTAAAAAAAAGAAAAAGAAAAAAAAAACTCTGGTTCTGACTTCAACTTTGTTGGTAACTCACTGCGTGACTTTGGGCCAATATCATCCCCTTTCTGGACCTCAGTGTGACCATCTGTAATATGAGGATGTTGAGCTAGATGACCTCATAAGGCCCTTCCAATGCTGCTGTTCTAGCTCTCTAGCCAGTGGCTAAATCACAATTAATGTGACACAATAATGGTATTAAGATTCTCCCACTCTACCCTCCTTACCCCACCTAGTCAATTCCAAGCCAGCTAAGGACAGCTCCAACAGTGTTGTCAGCAGGGCTACCTGTCATGCTCAGCCAAAAGGGCTGAGAAGTTTCCATCCCCCCCAACCAGGGCCCTATGGCCCACCACCAGTGTTCCCACTCAAAACCTCAAGGTTACAATGGCTCCCAGGACTCTACCTTCATATTCTATCTGCAAAGCTGCCAACTGTTCAAATGTGGGAATGAGGAATCCATCATCCAGAAAAGCATCCAACACAGCATTCCTAAAAGGAGACATCAGAGTTTATCTGGGCATGGTGGCACAAACCTATTGTCCCAAGTAGTTAAAAGGCTAAGGGTGGGAGCACTGCTTCAGCCTAGGAGTTGAAGATTCACTTGGACAATAGAACAAAACCCCCATCCCAGGGGAAAAACAAAACAAAACAAAAACATGACCACTATAAATATGCTGGATCCATTTACTGGTTATTTTTATGTCTTTTTTTTTTTTTTTTTTGGTACCGGGGATCGAACCCAGGAGGTTGCACTTGCTAGGCAAGCGCTTTGCCACTGAGCTACATCCCAGCCCTTACTGGTTATTTTTAAATGACTGATAACTTGAGGAAGGGGCTGAGTGTGTTGCTCAGTACCACAGCACTGGTCAGAGTTCAATACCCAGTACCAAAAAAAGAAAACTAGTTTTGTAAACTGAAGAGGACAGAAGACCTCACCTATTCCTCCTCCCTGCCTGCAATAGCCCCAAGGCAGCTAGCATCTTTTGTTCATGTGACCAAAAGCATCACTAGGAGAAATGAGGCAGAAGATAACTGAACACCTTCTGGAGCAAGGGTTAGAGTGTCTAGGATCAATGGGTTTTGAACATGAACTCGCCAAACACATGTCCATCTAAGGCCTACAAGAAGAGTAATAGTGGCTACCTAAGTAGAACCAACAAAATTGTGTGTGTGTGTGTGTATAGTGGCTACCTAAGTAGAACCAACAAAAGTGTGTGTGTGTGTGTGTGTGTGTGTGTGTGTGTGTGTGTGTGTAAGAAGTCCATACAGTTTGAAATGTGGCTCAGTGGTAGTGTGCTTGCCTAGCATGCATGAAGCCCTGGGTTTGATTCCTCAGTACCACATACACAGAAAAAGCCAGAAGTGGCACTGTGGCTCAAGTGATAGAGTGCTAGCCTTGAACAATTCCCAGGACCTGAGTTCTAGCCCCAGGACGGGCAAAAAAAGCCCATAGCCTACAGAGGGAGGGAGGAAAGGAGAGGGGGGGGGAGAAACAGAGAGAGACAGAGACAGTGTGTCCGACCTAGAGTATGGTAAAGGGATTTCAGAATTTAGGTCCTGTAATCTTTGTTGCTTCTCTTGACCATTCTTCTTTAGTCATCTATCTCTCCTCTCTTTGGCTGTTTTCTTTTAGATCAGGGGTGCCATTTTGGACATTTATGCCATTTATAGGCCATATAAAAATTTCAATACAGGCAAATGGGATCTGAGCAGCTGACAAAAAGCATACGTATCTGTTCCAATACTCACCAAATGACTGCACAGGCCTTATATGGCCTGTCGGCTAGATCCTCGACATAGAAACCCTGAGGATTCAATTGATAGACAAAATATAATCCAGAGTTCTAGGGACCCAGAAGAAAGTTAGAGGAGTTGAAGACATTGGCTACCAAGATAATCGCTCATTTTCATCTACTTCCAATCTAAACCACTAAATCAGCAAATGAAAACTGATTCTTACTAGTGGCTCCCAAGATTCCCTCCTTGTTGACCAGGTCAGGAAGGAAATAAAGCACCTTAAGATGTCCCAGTGCCAGGAGAGACTATACTACACTCATGTCCAAAGTGCTTGTGGCTCACACCTGTAATCCAAGCTACTCAGGAGCCTGAGATCTAAGGACCATGGTTCAGAGCGACCCTGGGCAAGAAAGTCCATGAGACTCTAATCTCCAATTAACCACCAGAAAACTGGAAATGGAGCTTCAGCTCAAATTGATAGAGCACTAGCCTTGAGCAAAAAGAGCTCAGGGACAGTGCCCAGGCTGAGTTTAATCCCCAAAATTGACCAAAAAAAAAAAAAAGAAAGAAAAAAAGAAAACCAAGATCACTTAAAGAAGCCACCAGATTCCTGCTCAGCACTACAGTAAAACACTACTGTGTATGGCACAATGCTATTTTCTCACCGACAAGGCTGGAAAAACTGACGGAACACCTTTGAAACTAATAAGAATGAAAAGAACAGAGTGCAGGGGAAAGTCCATACTACATCGCAGGCTCCCCAGCAGATCTACTCTACATTCTATACCACCTACCTATGCTCTCTGCTCCATCTCATCTTCTAGCTTTCCCTAGTTGTGAAAGCCTAGCATTTGTTCTGTTAGTGCTGAGAATTAAACTCAGGGAATATGCATGTTAGGTAAATGTTCTACCTCTGAACTATAACCCCAGACCATGGCCACAGGTTCATAGTAAAAAGTTCCCCTAGAGTCCCTTCTACCTGAATTTAAGTAGAATGCCCCAAGAACAAGATAGGAACAAGACAGATAAAGCAATACTTTGTGCTCTGGTAAAGAACAAAGTGATAGGGTTGACATCATGTATTAAAAACACTTCATGAAGATTCTTTAAAAATTACTCTTAGCCAAGCACCAGTGTAGTCCATGCTTATTATCCTAGCTACTCAGGAGGCTAAAATTTGAAAACTTTGATTCAAAGCCAGACTAAGCAGGAAAAGTCATGAGACTCTTACCATTAATTAACCACCAATTTTTTTTTAAGCTAGAAGTGGACCTAAGGCTCAAATGATAGAATGCTAGCTAGCCTAGAGCACAAAACCTCACAAGTAGCACTGAGGTCCTGAGTTCAAGTCCCAGGAGTGGCACCAAAAAGGTATTTTTTTGCTTTAAGGTGAGCACTACATTTCAGGGATAAAAAGGAAACACGTAAGCTGGGCACCAGTAGCTCATGCTTTGCAATCCTAGCTACTCAGGAAGCTGAGATCTGAAGATCTGAAGCCAGCCCAAGCAGCAAAGTCCATTTGACTCTTATCTCCAATGAACCACCAAAACAGCCAAAAGTGGAACTATAGCTCAAGTAGTAGAGTGGCAACCTTCAGTGAAAAAACTAAAGGACAGTGACCAGGTCCTGAGTTCAAGCCTAGAACCTCTGTGTGTGTGTGTGTGTGTGTGTGTGTGTGTGTGTGTGTGTGTGTGTAAGGCTGAGTTCAAGCCTAGAACCTGTGTGTGTGTGTGTGTGTGTGTGTGAATAAGGCTGAGTTCAAGCCTAGAACCTGTGTGTGTGTGTGAATAAGGATGTACTCTCTTACTCTAGAAAGAAAGCCCCTGGTTACTTGGTTGCATACCTGTTCTCCCATGCAATGCCCTTGAGCTCACCCAGGATCCATTCTATATGTGGGGACATGTCATTCCACGCCTTAACAGCCTGAGGTAAATATCTGTATTTCTCAAGCACCTGTAAGCAAAGAGGATCCCATCAGAAGGCTGATTACACCAGGCAAACCACCAGGTAACCCCGCTAGTATCCCTTTCCCAGGGGACCACAGCACTGACCTTCAGGAGACAGGACAGGATAGATAGGGGTAGATGCACAACTCCCGTTGGCCCAGAAACTAAAAATAACCAGACCCTGTGGTTCTCAATCATAAGACTGATGTCCAGTAAGAGCATCTGGATGGAGATGGCCAGAGGGGAATGAAGGGATATAATGGATATGGAAGGCAAGACCTGGCTTCTTATTCTGGTTCTATCATTAACTGTATATGACCTGGTTCTGCCTTTCAATCATCTATGGCTTTAGTTCCTTTTTTTTTTTTTGGGTCCGGTCGTGGGGCCTGAACTCTGGGCCTAGGTGCTGTCCCTCAGCTCTTCAGCTCAAGGTTAACGCTCTACCACTTGAGCCACAGTGCCACTTCCGGCTTTTTTCTTTATGTGGTGCTGAGGAATCGAACCCAGGGCCTCAGGCATGCAAGGCAAGCGCTCTGCCACTGAGCCACCTTCCCAGCCCCTTTAGTTCCTTTTTGTCTGAAAATGTAGAGTTGAATTAAATGCTTTCTGAGTTAAATGACCCCCTCCCTATCAAAATAGCACCCCCCAACAGAGTGCTGATGGCTCATGCCTGTAATTCTGGCTACTCAGAAGGCTGAAATCTAAGGATCACAGTTCAATGTCTGCCCAGGCAATGTCCATGAGACTCTTATCTCCAATTAACCACCAAAAAAACAGAAGTAGAGCTGTGGTTCAAAGTGGTAGAGTGCTAGCCTTGAGTGAAAAAGGTTAAGGATAGAGCTCAGGTCCTGAGTTCAAGCCCCACATCACCACCAACAAAAAAAATCAAAAGCACCCTCCAGCTGACCTGATCTAGCGAAGTTCTTTTTTTTGGGGGGGGCTGGTTGTGGGGCTTGAACTCTGGGCCTGGGCGCTGTCCCTCAGCTCGTCAGCTCAAGGCTAGCACTTGACCTCTTGAGCCATAGCGCCACTTCCGGCTTTTTTCTTTTTGCTTATGTGGTGCTGAGGAATTTAACCCAGGGCCTCATGCATGCAAGGCAAGCACTCTACCACTGAGCCACCTTCCCAGCCCCCATCTAGTGAAGTTCTTGATACTCCTCCACCTGCCCATCAGCTGCAAAACTGTAGGATTGTGCAACTGCCCATTCCCAGTAGGTATCTCCTACCCAAAGGGAAGATTATCCACAAACTTCATCATCTACTCTCTTCCACTGGTGTGGATGACCCTAATGGACTCCATACCTCTTCTTTCCATCCTAGTTCCCCCCTCTCTTTCTGAGAAGTTCTCTCATGCTTTGCCACTTTTCTCTCAAATTCCTTCGTAAGAATTTAATTTCTGGGCTGGGAAGGTGGCTCAGTGGTAGAGTGCTTACCTTGCATGCATGAGGCCCTGGGTTCGATTCCTCAGCACCACATAAGCAAAAAAGAAAAAAGCCGGAAGTGGCGCTGTGGCTCAAGGGGTAGAGCGCTAGCCTTGAGCTGAAGAGCTGAGGGACAGCGCCCAGGCCCAGAGTTCAGGCCCCATGACTGGACCCAAAAAAAAAAAAAAAAGAATTTAACTTCTTTCTCTCTCAGGTAGCTGGCAAGAATAAATGCTAGAGCAAATGAGAGTATACCAGCTCAAGGGCAATTCCTTACCTTAAACTGTTCCTCTTCATAAGATATCAGCAGCTGACAGGCTCTTTCTGAAAACAGAATGAGGAGACAGGTAGGGCAACCAGCCTGCTCAGCTGGGATTGTGAGCCTGTCTCATTTCATTTCATGAGTTGTGAACTGAGAACTAATATTCCTTTCAGACCTACTTCACAGAACTCAAGGAAAATAATTTGAGAGGCAAATATGACAACGACTTGACTATGGAAACTGGGCATGATGGTTTGTGATAGTAATTTTTCAAGCTAGAACTCACCACAGGCTACTGCAAATGCCAAGCCTACAAAGTAACAAGTGCTTGACCCTAAGTCTAAAATGTCCAGGCTCATGCTTATCCTCATTCATGTGCACCTACCATACAACTCCTTATGTCTCACAGGCCTTTTCCCTCGAGAATCCACCACTTCACTGCCTTTTGTGTTTTCATCATCCTTGACATCCAACTCTGCACCTTTTACATCATCCTTAGACTCAGATCTCTGCTCATCATCAACATTCGTATCTTCTTCCTCTTCTTCTATGTCTCCTCCCATATCCCCTGGGTTTTTTCTGGGATTCCCTCCTGAGTTTCCTCCCGAGTTTTCTCTGGAGCTTCCTCTGGAGCTTCCTCCTATATTTCCTCCAGGGATTCCTCCAAGATTTACTTCGGAGTATCTTCCGGGGTTTCCTTCTGCGTTTCCTCCAGAGTTTCTTCTGGTGTTAGACTTTTGGTTTCCTCCAGTTTTTCCTCTGGGGTTTCCTCCTGCATTTCCTAGATTATCTTCTTGGTAATCTTCTCCTATCTCCATCTTCTCTTCCTCAAACTCCAAAGTATCTTTCATACTGTTCTCCAACTGATGGCACCAGTAGGTGTTCTGGAGCCATTTCAGCACAAACTGGCAGCCTGAAGAAGGAAAGGCAATAGCATAGAACCAGCTGCAAGCAAGCAACTAGCAGGTCCCCAGCTCTCTGGCCCTCCAACCTCATCTTGTGAGCAATGGGAAAGTCTAGTAATCATTCATATCAGTGTAGCTCAAGTGGTAGAGCATGTGCCTAGCAACTACAGGGCCTCTAAAAACTCGTCTTCCTGAGTCTGAGTTATCCCTTTTTGTTTTCTCCTATTTGCTAGCATCTTTCCTAGAACACAAATTATACTGACATTGGATGCTAAAAACAGCAAGTGATGGTAAGTAAGAAACTGGGACTCAGCCCCACACAGCCTTAGCCAAAGCCAAACTAAATCACCAGGTTGTTCATTTGTTTTTTGGTGGCAGGTGCTTAACAACTTCAGCCATGCCGCTAACTTCTTTTTGCCTTGGCTATTTTCAAGTAGGTTCCTGCTTTATGCCTGTTTGTGCTTTTCCATGTTACTGGGGATTTCAGGTTTACACCACTGCACCTAGCCATTATACTTTTCCCAAAGCTGGGATAACAGATAAGCACCACCATACCCAGCCACTGGTTGAGATGGCATCTCACAAACTTTTATGCTCAGGCAGGCCTTAAACCACAATCCTTCCTTCTGTCTCTAAATAATGGGTTTCCAATTGAGATGGGTAGAATGTCCAAAGATCTCCTAGATATATGACACTGTTGATGGCTCATGTGTCTCATCTTGCTGTCCCTGCTGTATAGTGAAGCTGGAGAGGTATTACCTCAAGTGCAAAATTTAAGAGGAGGCTAAGAAACTATTCAAGGTAACAAGACAAATAAGATCAGTATCCTACAAAGCCTAAGGCAAAAGAACTCAGTAAGTCTAATTTTGTTTTTATTTTCCAAACTTTGTTCATCACATAGTTTTTCACATTAAAATTCCACTTACCACAGGGGTATGGCTCATGGGATAGAGCAGCTCACCTAGCAAATTGAAGGCCCTTAGTTCAAATCCTCATATTGAGCCCCAGTACTATTTATCTGGATCATCAGACTTGACAGACCCTTAAATGTTGTGCCCAAGGTGAGTAACTGATTTGTTTCACTTTATTCCTGGCTTTGAATCCTGGTAAGATTTTTCCTACAATCCCTCTACCTCAAATGCCACTTAGTCCAGGCTCCAATGTTTAACCATGATACTTATACTCTCCTCAAAGGTGGGGACTCACCTTTGCGACATTCATTTAGATGTGGCATTTTCTTGTGAGTCAATTCATGGCGAAGTTCAACAATCCAATCTGGAATGTTTATCTGAGTGGAATTGAGGAATGAGTACAAAAATTAAAAAATGCAAAGGCTGAAAGGAACCCAGTGATAAATTAGCCTGATAACTCCTCTCACTTTACAGATATAGAAACTGATGTTCTGGGGACTGGGAAGGTGGCTCAGTGCTAGAGTGCCTGCCTTGCATGCATGAGGCCCTGGGTTCGATTCCTCAGCATCACATAAACAGAAAAAGCTGGCTCAAATGGAAGAGTGCTAGCCTTGAGCTGAAGAGCTGAACCAGAGTTCAAGCCCCACTACTGACAACAACAAGAACAAAAAGAAACTGATTCTCTGGTAGAAGACCCTAGTCATTCTAACAGAGTCAAGGTTAAAAATGGGTTTCTTAGCCCAGTGCTGATGGCTCACACATATAATCCTACTTAGGAGACAGAGATCTGAGGATCACAGTTTGAAGCCAGCCTAGGGCAGGAAAGGCCATGAAACTCCCATCTCCAATTAACCAACAAAAGCTGAAAGTAAAGCTGTGACTCAAAGTGGTAAAGCACTAGCCTTAGCACTAAAGCTCAGGGACAGAGCCTGAGTTCAAGCTCCAGGACTGGCACAAAAAAAGGGTCTCTTGCTCAGTTTTACTGCTCTGTGAAGGTGGTCTTAAAAATCAGAAAAGGTACTCATATCCCCCAACCACCAACCATTCACCTGCAACAGAGACTTCTGAATGAGCATTAACAATCACATTCTCCAGCCTCCTTCTGCCCTTTCCCTTTGCTTTTCCCTGAGTGCCTATTACCCATCTTTTCTTCCCATACCTCTTCCAGGAAACTTCTCTTGATGATTGAGAACTTACCTGTCCTCTGAGCCTCTACACAGTTTTCACATACTAACTCATGGTAGGAATATCTAGGATCTTCTTGCAGCATGGCTGAGCTGTCTCCTCCTTCAGATTGTCAGCTATCTAAAGGTAAGTGCTTTTTGACTGCCACCTCTTTCATGTCCCCTGTATATTCAGGCTCCTCAGCTTCACTGGGCCACTCTAAGGCAGCAGGGCTAGACAAGCCCACCGAAATTTAAGTTATGAGGATTAAGGGAACAATTCTGTTGCTTAAAAACTGGAATCTGGATGTCGGTAGATCATGCCTGTAATCCTAGCTACTCAGGAGGTTGAGATCTGAGGATCACAGTTTGAAGCCATCCTGGGCAAGAAAGTCCATGAGACTTTTATCTCCAATTAGCCACCAAAAAGCCAGAGAGGAGCTGTGTCTCAAGCCTCAGAAGTGACACAAAAAAAGGGAAATTAGGCTCAGGAATTCCTGCTGATTTCAGCTAGTAGTGATGTAATGAACTAGTCTGTTAACATACCTTACCTCATACCCATTTTGTAAATCCTCTAGGCGAAAGAGAATTAAGGCTATTTTATCATACGCACCTCCTGAGCCAGGTACCTGAGGGGGAGCTTGGTATACTTTGTCCTCCTCTCCGAGATAAGATTCACAAACCTGGGGTTAGGGAAGAAGTAAGTGACACAGCCCAAAAGAACTGTTTTATACAAAATACCTTGCTGCGTTACTGACACCTTGCATTTCCACAATCTTCCAAATGAGTGTCCTGTTAATATGGTTGATGTCAGCCAAAGCAAAGATAATTCCAACCACTCCAACATTTACTGAGTCTGCTCTGTACTGAAACCATACAGAGTAGATATTGCTCTGGCCTTGATGAGTTCAATCTGGGATAAATAATTATGACATAAAATGCTAGAATGTGTGTTACAGATGGTATAATAAAGGACTATATAATATGATATGTACATGGAAGAGGATATGAGGATCTCAAGACAGACAAAGAGAATGGGATGAGATGAGACTAGACTTTGACATGAAAAAACTCAGTCACAATCTCCCTGCCCTTTCTCCTCACAGGTATGAGCCAGTTTTGCAAATCAGGAACTCTCAGCTCAGGTCTTCACTTTCACAAATCAGCAACCATTCATTCATGAAGGAAATAAAAAGAAAAATAGTTGGTGTACATATACATAAGAATAAGACTGCAAAATCTGTGGGCTGGGAAGGTGGCTCAGTGGTAGAGCGCTTGCCTTGCATGCCTATGGCCCTAGGTTCGATTCCCCAGCACCACATAAGCAAAAAGAAAAAAAAGCCGGAAGTGGCGCTGTGGCTCAAGGGGTAAAGCGCTAGCCTTGAGCTGAAGAGCTGAGGGACATCGCCCAGGCCGAGTTCAGGCCCCACGAATGGACTCCCCCCCCCAAAAAAAAGACTGCAAAATCTATATTAAATCACAGTCAAGGGAAATTAGAAAGTCCCTCTAGGGGAATGAAGTGTGAGCAAATGCAGTCATTCTATTCAGCATACATTATGTAAAAACTGAACTATGTAACTTGAGGGTAGAGACAGGAGGGGGAAAATGGGGAGGGGTGATGAAAAGGGTGACATTGTTCAAGAGGTCCTGTACTGGTAATATGACTTATACAATTGTAACTCCTTTGTACAACTACATAATAATAACAATTAAAAACGCAAAATAAAATACAAAATGTAGAAAAAAGCCCCTCTGGATGAGGAGTTAATGAGAAAAGAAACCAAATTAGGATTATGAAAACTGGAGGAAACCCAAAGAGGACATCCAATCCAAAGCCTCCCCACATGCCAGAGGAAAAGAAAAATGGAAGAGAGTGGCTTACAAGGACAGGGAAAGAAAGAAAAGTTATGTTGGCATGGGGTACAAAAACCTATATCAATATAAGCAATGATAAGCCAAGCCACAGCATTTTGCTTCTGGTAGTCCCTGAAAACAAGCTTTGCTTACCACAGGCCAATCACCTGAAAGATCCCAAAGCCAACCTCCCGCCCACTCTTAAGTCCCAGGTAGGTCTTACCTGACTAATGCCATGCCATACAGCAGTCTAAGTTCATCATGGCCCACATTACCAGCTATATCCATGAGTTTACAACGTATCAGGTCAGCAGTAGTAGCCACTGCCAGAGGAAGTTCGTTGCCTAACCTAAAGGAGCCACAGACCAGCACCGTCATAAAAGTCCCTTACAGTTGTCCACCCTATCTCAGAATTTTGGTCACTGCACAAATATTCCTATTATATATAAAAGGTCGGGTGTACATGAAGTTAAGAAACCAAAGTGGAAGACAGGCTCATGGTATCCAAAAGCAACACAGGGCACGAGGGACTGATTAAGGTATACAAAGGACACCTAATTGCTAGACTGTCAAATCAGTTGTGGGGCTGGACACACGTTTTTTCACACCATCAAGCTGTTAGAGAAGCCCCATATTCCTTGTTAGTTTGCCCCAACCCAACTAGACTGAAATAAACACAACACACATGCAGACTCATCTTTTCAGACAAGCCCCTCCCCTCCTCTCCCTAATTTCAATCCGAAAGCCACCTCTCAAGTGTTTCTGAAGCCCTAGGTGAGGCATCATTAGTCCCTCCAGGACTCTCCCCAAGAGAAAGAAAACGTTAAGTTGTTACAAGATTTCCATCTACAAACGGAGCCTGGCTTCAACTTTCCCCGCACGCTTGAGAAAAGTGGTAGTATCTGACAATCTGGGGGGTTGGGGGGGACGGGCCAACTGAACCTTTTAGGAACTCGCCAGCGCGCGACACAGCGGCCGCATTACCTGCTCCTCCACGCGGAGATTCGGTTTAGCGCGTATCGTTGCAACTTTAAGTCATCACAGAACAGATAAACCGTCACCTGGTCCCATTCCGCCTTGCTAAGCCAGGACACCACGATGCTTTGGCTCTTTGCCGGCGACAACTCTTTTTCTTTAACGCCCTTCCTGTACCACGCACTCCACACTCGATCCATCCCCGCAAGACTAAGCCAAAGGCCGAGTCTCGTGCGGCGACGTTAGCTTACCCCCGCCTCTTCTCGTGCTACTCTGACTTTAACGGACCGCCGAGCTCCATCAGCCAATTGGAAATCATGACCCGGACGCAAGCCCGCCTTCCAGTATGAGCGTAGCCAATCGGAATATGGAACATAGAGGTCACAGACGTAATTACGTCCTCGCCGCAGGAAGTGTTCTGTTCACAAAACATCCCTAATAGCTCGACTGCGTTCGATCTCTGGGTTCCGCCAAAGTTCCGCTTGCTCACCCGCTTCCTTCACAAACGGCAACGCGTGTGGGGATGTGGGTGGAGGCGGGGACTGGACGGCGGCGTGGCAAGGGCGGGAAGAGTCAGCTGCCGCCATTGGCGGACTGCGAAGGGAAAGTGGTCAGCTAGTGTACTTCCTGAAAATGTGCTTTGAGTTATATTTCTATATGGTTGTAAATATATCTTCATATAAATATTTTATATTGTTTGCAAATATATATGATTAATAAAATTATGTTCGTATGTTAATTATAACATGACTATTTCTAAATAATTATAGACAAATATTTATAAATACATTCAATACATATTTATAAGCTATAAGCATATACAATGTATAAGTACAAATAAATTATATATTTATGCATAATACACAAATATATTTATAATATATAATAAATATATGTGATAAAATTATAACAATATATTTAATATCATAATTGATTATAATAAATATTTATAACGAGATCATTTATTTTTAAAACTTTTGCCAGTTCTGGGGCTTGAACTCAGGGCCTGGGTGTAAGGTCTGCACAAGGACACCTCTCTACCTCTTGGCTAAGTTTCTGCCCACAATCTGTTACCTAAGTAACTGGCAAACCTGGAAGCAGTCACCTTCCCCTCCTGCTAGGTCACATCCTGCTCTGGTCACATGCCTCCCATCTGACCTTAGGAGGGTTCCAGACGCTGAGGTCTGTGGGGATCCAGTGTGGCCACACCTTTCCCCCACCTAGCGGCACCTCTTCCTGTCCCTGGCCTAGATAAGTCCTGGCCTGGGGTGGGTTGCCCCTTTCCTTTTCAGCCATGTCTCTCCACCATGCACAGTGGAGGCAGCAGTTCGGTAAATAAACTTCTTCTGGCTGAATAGCACATGGTGTTCTCTTCATCCGCTACCTACCTATTTAATATACCTTACACTAGTACTGTCCCTGAGCTGCTTTTGCTCAAGACTAGCACTCTACCACTTGAGCACAGGGCCACTTCTGGCTTTTTCTGTTTATCTGGTACTAAGGAATCGAACCCTGGGCTTCATGCATGCAAGGTAAGCACTTTACCACTAAGCCACATTCCTAGCCCTAATTTATAAATTTTATATTATATTCAAATATATTTATAGAGTATAACTTTATAAATTAATTAAATCAACAAATAAATTAGTATAAATTAGTTCATAATAAATTTGTGTAGGAATACATTTATATAAATTATATAGTATATTTTTGTTTTATACAATTGGTGTATATATGGTTATAGTTCTATGATTTGATAATTCAGTAGAAAACTTTAGACATTGAAACAGAAATATGGAAAACATCTAACATATAATTAAGTTGAAAAAAAATATCTCCTGGCAAGTATCCAGACATAGTTCCTCTGCTTGAATTACTGGAATAAGAGTTGAAAGTACATTGTAGAGTCCATAAGCTTTATAGACCATAATAATGACAATGCACCTCATAAAGGTTAAAATGTGTTTGTAACTTTAAGTATCACTATCCCCACAATACTGTGAAATTTATTAATCACTTAATCTCAATAAAAATTGTTTTTTTAAAAGAAAGTACATAGGCCTGGGTTCTAGTCTTACCTGGGTTTTGCCACTACTGTAACCTTGGACAAGACTCTGCCCCTTTCTGAATCTTGGTTGTTGTTTTGGGTGTTATTTTTTTCCTCTACAAGAGGGTTTTCGAATATGTTCCAGTTCTTTTTCATAGTTTAAAATTGAAAGATGGGAATGGGAGTGTAGCTTCAGTAATAGAACATCAACCTTGAGTGAAAAAGCCAACTGCAATTGCAAGGCCCTGAGTTCAAGCCCCACTAACAGCACAGAAAAGTAAAGGGGAAAAAAGAAAATTGTAGGATATTTGTTTGTAGGCAGAGTTTTACTATATAGCACAGGCTGGCTTTAAATATATCACTTCTGTTTCAATCTACTCAGTGCTGGAATTATAGCTGTGATGTCACACCTGATAAGTTCTAGGATTTTTTTTTTACCTCTCCTAGCATCTACTACTGTTGCTTTTAGTATCCACAAAGGTAAATTTACTTTTTTCTGCATACTTGGGATTTGGGGATTCTTCAGTGGAGAAAGCAATATTGTGAAATCCTTTCGATTTTGCAGGTTGGCTAAAATATATTTAGGACTACCTCCCAGTCCTCATAGAAATTATTCTCCAATTAAACACTTGAGAATGGCTGGTAGCAATGTTAACACTGCTGAGAGTGGCTCCTTTACACTGTATAGCAATGTATTCTTTTGTGTATCTTTTCACCAGCCAACATGCTCTAGAATGTAATTTGGCTGTGGTTCTTTTAAGTCTGTATCTCTTTGGCTTCTTAGCCTACCTAGAACATGTTCCTTTCTTTCCTCCTTATAAAAATCACAATTCATTTGTAAGATTCAAATTCATTTGTCAAAAATCCAGTTTCCCCAACAAAATCACCCATGAATCTTACGGGAATCAGGAAAAATAGAAAGGACGTGTGAATTTGCCACAGAATATAGTCTTTTGTATTTAGCTAAGAAATCTACCAGGCCTTTCTTTAAATTGCAATATTTTGAACATCCATTTGAAGAAAAGACTGAATACATCAATGATTACTTTAAGTCAGGTTGTATGATAATTGCTTAAACTTTTACCTGAACTCTGGCCTCAAGGAATGCAGCCAAAATTGAGAAATCTTTCCATCCTTTTGTAAAGGTTCAAAAGGAGCTCACTGTAGCCAGTTGCCAGTGGTTCACACCTGCAATCTTAGCTACTCAGGAGGCTGAAGTCTGAGGACAAGGTTTGAAGCCAGCCCAGAGAGACAAATCCAAGAAACTCTTATCCAAGTAACCTGAAAAAATGCTGGAAATGGAGGTGTGGCCCAAGAGGCAGAGCACCAGCCTTGAACCTACCTTGAACTTAAATCTATTGCCATCTTTCTTTGTGACTACCCCAAGTATCATGGATGAATTGCCTCTTTATATGCCTCTATTGCTATGAAATTCTAAGTTTCTTTTCTTTTTGTGATCTTCTTCCCAACCACAATAACTTTACTAAAAGAATTTCCTTAAGTTCCGTATGCATTTTGTCCATTCAATAAAGTTGATTTTGTTTTCATTAGTTTACAGAAAAGAAAGCTGAGGCTCAGTTGCATGGCCTAAGATGGCACCATTAAGAAAGGAGGGAAATTGGGTACTACTCAGGAGCCTGAGATCTGAGGATTGCAGTTTGAAGCCAGCCCAGGCAAAGAAGTAAGTCCCTGTGAGATTCTTATCTCCAGTTAACCACTCAAAAGCCAGAAGTGGCTCTGTGGCTCAAGTGGTAGAGTGCTAGCCTTGAGCAAAAAGAGGCCCAGGGATGAAGGGGGGGGGATGGGGGAGGAAAGAGGGGGATGGGAAGGGGAAACAAAGGAGGAGGCAACAATGCTTGATAAGAAATGTACTCGTTATCTTGCCCATGTAATTATATTTTCACAATAAAAAAAGAATGTTTTGCATTATCACAAACTACAAATGAAAATAAATGGTGATGGAACACCTTGGGAAATAAAAGAGGCCCAGGGACAAAGCCCAGGCCCTGAGTAAGGAGGCTAGGTCTGGCCACCACATGGTGGACTATAGGGCCTGGCATCTTGTCTTCATGCTTGGAGAAGAAAGCCCCCTGCCCATCACCTGTCCCCCAGGTGATTGGTGTGCCCGGATCCCTGGAGACAGGGGCAGGCACTTGGCTGATAGGTTACTGCATCTGTCAGTCCAGTGCCTGGGACTGGGAATTTCCTGTGGATCTGCCCCCAAGCTAAATTGGCTTGTTGGTATTGTTTTTGTTCTTTCTTTCCTCTTTAGCATGATTCCTGGCTGTGTTATGTGTATTTGCCTGTTGCAGGCCTTTGTTACAATTGGCAGCTTCCAGCCCGTTAACTGTATAATAAAGACTCCAATATTCTATATTTCAAAATGTGGCTTCTGGAATGATTCACCTTGTACTACCACAACTGAGAAAAAAAGAAAAGAGGGAAAGCTGAGCATTGATGGCTCAGGCTGGTAATCCTAGGTACTCCAGAGTTAAAATCTGAGGATCCAGGTTTGAAATCATCCCAGGAAGGAGAGTCCAGAGTCTGTGAGACTCAACTCCAATTAACCAGCAAAAACCCAGAAGTGAAGGTGTTGCTCATATGGGAGAGTGCTATACTTGAGGGAAAAAGCTAAAGGACAGCACCTAGGCCCTGAGTTGAAGCCCCAGTACAGGCACCAAAAAGAAAGAAAGGAGGAAAATTGATTTCCTCACAGGTCTATGTACTCTGAAGCCCAGCTCTGTAGATAACACTCAGAAGAGAACAGTCACTTTACTACTTGAGCGACAGGGGCACTTCCAGCTTGCTTCCTCTCCTCCCCTCACTTGTCCCCTCTCCTTCCCTCCCCTCCCTTCTCCACTTTCCTTCCCTTCCTCCTCCCCTTCCCCCCTCTTACACCTTCCCCTTCTCCCCTTCCCCCTCCTTCACTTTCCTCCCCTTCCCCCCTCCCTCCTTCAGTTTCCTCCCCCACACCTCTCCCCTCTTCTTCTCCTCCCCTCTTGGCCCTTCCCTCCTTCTGTCCCTCCCTCTCTCTCTTGCTAGCTTGCTCTCTCTCACTATCGCTATCGCTCTCCCTCTCCCTCCCCCCTCTCTTTCTCTCTCTTTCTTTGCTGGTTAATTGGGGAAAGGAGTCTCAAACTTTCTTGCCCAGGCTGGCTGATTTTCTTACCTTAGATCTCAGCCTAAGTAGCTAGGATTACAGGCCTAGGC